AAGTAATATTCTACATCTACATTTGTATTGTATTTTCTCCATATTCTGACTACTAGGTAAAGTTTACCCATTTTTTCTTAAGATTTTACTGTCTGATAATGTGAACATATATTAAAACAGCTCTTCTGGTGCTCTTGGCTACCCACGTGGAATGGAAATCAGGACCATAAAGTTAAAGTTATTAAAAGGGGTAGTAAATTTCTCTCTTTGTTGTATTATTCAGCTTTAAGAGCATCTCTGCCCTCTAAGAGTCTTAGAATATTAATTTTATATATTAAGGAAAAAGGATTTAACGATAGAATTGCACAAATAAATTATGAGAAATTAAGAAAAGCAATTGCCAAAATAATTGAGTTGATAATTTAATTGTTAAATAAAATCTAGACAATTATTATTATTATTCACTCCATTTTTTTTTTTTTTGGTACCAGGGATTGAACTCACAACCTTATGCTTGCCAATTCACTCCATTTGTTAAAGGCCAGAAAATTAGAAAATATTTTGTATTTCATAATGTTATGTTTCATCACTTATGGATTATAGATTAGGTGAGCTCAAGTTGTGGTAAGAGATCCCTGGGAGGCAGGAAGACCCATCGACTGTTTTTGACATGGACATTTTGTGTCTCCATATGCTGGAATTTTCTGCGAGAAGATACCCAGTAATACAGGTGACAAACAACAGGCATTGTCAAGGAAGCAGGAGTCTGCTAGGGCAGCCTTTTAATCACTTAACACAAAGATTAACTGAGATTAAAAGGTTACATAGCTTGTCCAGAGTCAACAGTTGTTAGATTGGGATTCAACCCAGACTAGACTAGTGAGACTAATGTGAAAACCAGCATGTTTAATCTTCAACTCACACTACTTTTTGCTTTGTATAATGGCTCTTTCTGTATTTGCTTGTGTAATGCCTCTTTCTGCAGGAGATACTGATACCAAGAAGTGTACTTTAAATGATGAATTTCTGAGTTTTTTTCCCAGATCAGTGGAACAAACTAACATATAAAGAAATACACTTGTATATATAATGTACATGCATGTATCAATATAAATTTGTATGATTTAAAATGGCACTTCAAACCAATATGAAAAATAACCAATATTAAACAACTACATGGAAATTGGTGGCTATATACGGGGAAAAATTAGAGCCATATATTTTGTTTAAAAAAGAATAGTTCCAGGGAGGTCTGAGTGTTTCAGAGATTATCCTCAAGCCAATTTTTGGGAATTAGTCTTTCCAGAGAATTTATCTGAAGAATATTTACTTTCAGAGCATGCACCGTTTTTATTAAAAATACCTTAGGAAAGATGTTTGAGACAGAACAGAAGAGGGTTGTTCTGTCTCCTCAGAGTGTCTTGAACACATAGGAGAAATGCAGTCTCTTGGGCTTGCCAAGGCCCTGGGCTATTCCTGCTCTCTTTCTGAAGGGAAAGGCATCCCGGGAGATTACTATTACTGGGACCCCAGGAATGGTTTCCCTCCACTCTTGTTATTTATTCAATAATAAGAGTCAATGTGATAAGATTATAGGAATGACAGCTACTTTTTCTTTAGTTTTCCTGTGTTAAGACCAGCTCATGCTGGTCTCAAACTCTTGTGGATTCTAATGCCTCAGCCTTCTGACTGCTGAAATTATATGTGTGCACCACCATCCAGCTCAGAGTTACAGTTTCAACATTGCTTTTGTTTGAAAGAAAAAGCAGGATAAAGATTGAAGAGAATATGTAAAACTGAGATAATACAAAAAGAAGATGAACTTGTCCAAACCAATTGGAGAATTTTCCCTTCTCTGCAGTGGAAAAAAAGAATGGGTTGGCCCACTGGAGAGGATACAGAATAGCTCTGCGGCTTTCGCTTTCTCTTAGCTTTGTTATTATTTTGCTTTTTTTTTTTTTTGTACCAGGGAATGAACTCACCACCTTTCATTTGCCAGGCAGGCACTTATGCCAAGCTAAATCCCTGGCCCATTATTTTATTTAATATCATCTTGCTTTGAAGTCCTACCATGCTTTTGTTCTTCTGTTTCCATTGGTTCTATCATGTTGTGTCTTATTGGATTTTAATATGTGTGAAAGTTTAAACAAATTTTCTATGGAAAGTGAGATAATATAGTAGCCATTGTTCATTTTCTGTTATTTGGTTCTGAATGCTCTGTAATACTTTCATTCTCTTGAATGGTTTGATACTATTTTATTATGTTTGATACTATTGTATGTGAAGGTATGCTCAACTATTTCAAAGAAAGAGACATTATGGTAGCTACTACTAATATCCAGTTGTCTTGTTGGAAGTGCTGATCTGCTTTGTTCTGTCCTCTTTTGTCTTAATCTCTTTAAAATAAAAAAACGTTTTCTGGCCTATTTATATTCTTTTAAAATACTTTTTAATAAACAAGGTGCATCTTCTGAAAGTAAATATTCTTCAGATAAATTCTCTGGAAAGACTAATTCCCACAGATTAGGTTGGGTATAATCTCTGAAACACTCAGACCTCCCTGGAACTATTCTTTTTTAAACAAAATATATGGCTGTAACTTATTTTTCTCCCCTTTATGGGACTAGATTGGTTATAAGTACATACTTTTAATACTCCTATAAGCACGTAATTTTAATAGAAATTCATACTCCTATAAGTGCATAATTTTAACATAAGCATAAACATTACATTTATTCATGTACAATTTCTGTAAGTATGTGAGCTTTATATATTTATCCAGAAGTTAACATATAGTAATAAGGAAATCTTATCCTTGAGTTTAGGTTTAGTAGCTCTGAAAAAATCTTTTTTTTTTTTTTAATCTTTGTAAAGTCCTGAGGATAAGGAATCCTTGCAGACACTGTTACACATAGATTCCAATGCCAGGGAGTCAGATGGATGTCACCCAACTACTAGGTTTAAGAATTTGGTCCCCAATGGTAAAGGTTGGCTGAGGGTGGGAGGAAAAAAACCAATATGACAAGAGTCTGATAGGGGATTTCACTTTTGACAATGGACACAAAATAAAGCACATAAACCTATAAATTAACACATGTAAATCACTCTCTCTTAAGGGTAACATTTTCATAAGGCTCAGAATTAAGCCAGAAATTTGGTGGTGTAATATATATGTATATATCTATATCTATATCCATATCTATATCTATCTATCTATCTATCTATCTATCTATCTATCTATCTATCTATGTATCTATCTGTAGTAGGTGAGTTACACAAGCAGGAAGGTGTTGCACCTGAATAAGCAATGCCTGGGTGAGAAGACTGTGCATAGAGGTGGTGGAGGCCATGAGCACTTTCTAGCTACCAGTGTCTCTTTGAGACCTGGAGGCATTAGGAAGTGATGCCAGTGATACTGGTGCCTGTTGATGACTCTTTTCCAGGGTCAGTGGCCACTCGGTTATTCTAGCGTCTTCTCAGCAGGATGAAGTTGCAGTAGGAGGCAGATGAGGAGTGAGAATGTGAGAAAGCATGAGTTGCTTTTTGTGTGTGCTAACTAAGGAGGCCATGACATGAAGACAAGGATTTATTTGTGACTAGTGTATGGAACGTTCTTTTGTAGTTGAAGGAAGCAAGAAACAAGGAATGAGGCAACTCTGCTGCAATCAGAATTTGATGACAGCGTGACTTGCATTTGCTATTCAAAATTTGTATCCTTTGATCTTTATCCTATTTATTCCTCAATAATAAATGTATTGCTATAGATAACAAATATAGTGGCTATTGTTGTTGCTATAATTTTACTGACAACTCATTAAAATCTTAACATGCATCTTCTGATTTAATTCCCACAATCGAGTGAAATGACAAGCCATTTAAAAAAAATAATTCTGCACACAGACTTTAATACCCTATTAGTGAGACTTATCCAGGGGTATATTTGAAGTTCAACCATTTATTAATTCATCAACTATTACTTTTAGCCCTTACAGTAAACATGTCATATGTAAGGAATGTAGGGCTATCTCACAGCAAAATCCATTTTCTCCTTTCCTTCCTTTTGTCTTCCTTCCCTCCTCCACCCCAAACTATTCAATAAATACCTTTGTGTTAAGCACCTGCTAAGCACTGCAAGTAAAATTACATAACAAAAACTCTGCTTCCAAAAGTCAGTCTACCCAAAAGGAAAGAAAGCGAATAGATTAGGTAACTATAATTGCATATTTAAAAAATCTGAAATCAGAATACTGCAAGTACCATCAATTTGCCTACTCCTGCTTCCCCCTGCTTTTCTCTTTCTACCCAAATCTGGCTTGGTACCCGTGACACTTTGATGACCGCACATGTATTATACTGTTCTACAAACTGTTATCTTGGGACTGACATTTTATCTGCTTTACCTGATAAGTATGCCATTGATTAAAAACAAAATCTATCTGCAGACAAGATGCTGGAAAAATAACAGGTCTTGGGTCAAAATAACAACCTGAGCATCATGGGAGAGAACTCTTTCTTTAGAACTTTGTGGGTCTGAGAGGACATGTGGTGTCAGCATGGGAAACAGCACAGTGTGTGTGTGTGTGTGTGTGTGTGTACACATGAAAAATAGGTAGCAGAATAATGATTTGGGCAGCTTCTCCTATCTGGGCCACAAATATTCATAGTGAGATTTTCTTTGATAAGAAAAACTGAAGTTACACAATATATATACGTAGTCAAATCTAAGTTGGCACTACATTTTACGTTCTGACAATTTCTTTTTGACTTACCACTATTTAATACATCTAATACATAAAATTCTCATCTAACCATAGGACATGTATGAGTGGGCATCAAAGAATCTGCAAGGTCCCTAAAATGTATGAAACATTGTATTTATGTGCATTTTTCTAGAGAGGGTCTTTAGCTTTTACCAAATTTGAACCTATGGCCCTAAAGTGATTAAGTGCCAAACAAAGCTAAATAAAAATTAAGAAATTAAGCCCCACATTAAGGATACCTTTTCCTCCGTAAAACTGGGACTCTTTAGCATAGGTTTTTGATGTAAATACAGTACTTACATCAAGAGCCACAGACTGCTTAGCCCAGGACTTCTTCACTTGATCATACATAATTGTGTTGTTGATACCAAGGCCACAAAAGATGACAAAAGCCTGGAGAAGGAAAAACCCACTAATTAAAAACTGTGATAACTCATTGACAAAATTTAATATGAAAGTAGACAGTAATCAGAGATGGGTCTGAAAATATAATTTCATTGTACACAGAGGTAGGCCTTGGGGAAATATACACATTAAAATTCTTAATTACTATTGTCATGTAACAACTTTATAGCTTACATTACACATGAGAAACAATTATTACTTTAATGCCATTGTGAAGAAATTGCTTCATCTAAAAACATGCAGTCTGTTTCAATGTGTTTTAAATTTATTTAGATTGTAGATTGATTTTAGTTAATTCCATTCTATTTAACAAAAAGCAACCTCTTTCAATAACTAGGCTATAGAATATTTTGATAAATGAAGTGAGAGTAACTGCAAGGTAATCTTTAAGGGGAAGGGAGACTGATTTAGAGTTTACTTGGGGCAAGAGCAAACAATGCTGGGGTTTTCCTGCTGGCCACCGGTGTAGGAAGGAGGCTCACCAAAGGCCAGCGTCTCCAGTTGGAAGAAATTTAGAACCCCTGTCCCCCCTCCCCCAAACAAAAAGAGTGAGGGTATTCCACCAGGCTAAGCTGACTGAGGAGCTCAGGACTCTGAGCACAAACAAACCAGACAATGGGGCAGTAACAATTTGCAGAGGATAAGGGTAGACTTGATTTTGTAATAAGACTAAGATAAAAATAACTGAAGTTTGCAAAATCATCTGCTAAGTGAAAAACAGAATCAAATTTTACTTATGCACTTATATATTCTTCAAATCTTCCTTTACATTTTGGCACCCTGTTTAAATATAATAATAATTAAGGATGATTTATCCTTACAAATGCGGGCAAGCTGTGACCAGGAAACTATCAGTGACTCAGCTATGACCCTTGGGTTATAAATTAATTTTATTACCTCAAAAAGTCGTTGATCTGCATCATCAAAAGGTTTCCCATCAAGTCTGTTCAACACTTGAGCCACTCCTATAAAAAGTTTCAGGAACATGGTCATTTTCAATACCAGACAGTGTGTTACTATATTAGAGTAGGCTACCGGTGGTTCCCTGCCACCATTAAGTATCTGTGGGCAACCAGTTTAAACTCCCGTGTATCATAACTGTGATATAGCTGGAAAGTGTGTGTATTCATGGACACAGACATACCAAAATGATGTGTGTATGAGTGCATGTGTGTATGTGTGTGTGAGAGACAGAGAGAAACAGAGAGAGAAAGAGAGAGAGAGTCAGACAGGGACAGAAAATATATAACTGAATATATCTTTGTCGCTGTTTTAATGAGTCTGAGATTAAAAACATAGGCTCTAGATTTTTAGATGGTCTTTGTTCAAATGCAAACTGCACTGTCAGCTGTGTGACCCTAAGTTACCATCTAACACTTTTAGCATTGAGATTTCTCATTGTGAAGTGGGAATTAAATTTTGACTACCTCAAATGGCTATGAAGATTCACTGAGATAATTTGTAACAATTTTTATGAGATATTAAAGATATACAACATGATGTTATGGGACATATATGGAGAGTAAAACATTACTGAAGGGAATCAGATACATGTATCCACCAACTCATACATATAACCACTTTGGTTTTTTTTGGATGTGTCAAGAGCAGCTAAAATCTACTCAATTAGAATGAACCCCAAATACAGTATAGTTTAATAATCTATCCTCACGCTGTAATTAGAGCTCTATATTTTTTCTCCTATATTATGATGCTTTGTATTTTCTAGACTACATCTATCTCCCTTTTTCTTCTCTTAACTTCACCCATGGTAATTACTGTTTTGTTCTCCACATTGAGATAAAGTTTAAATTGCAAAACAGGTATTGCTCCACATGAAGTAAATCACAAGCCATAGAAATTGATATACCAGTAACTTTTCAAGCAAAGTTAGTTCTGTTGCTTGATACAAATTGTTTGCATTGTTTTAACAACTTAATTTATGAATGGTTCCCCCTTTCAAAGTTCATTTACAGCACTATACCAATTTTTAAGGGTGTGTTTCCAAAGCACAGCAGTCTAATAAGAGAAATCCAGTGATCTTGAAAACTCACTAGCCTGTGTCCCAATTTAGTACAATAAAAAAACAGCTATTATTCTAAAATGTGCTTATTGTTGTTTTTAAAAATCTAACTCCTCACCAAGGAGATAACTGATCCTATGCTGGAAAATACAAAACTTTAGCATGTAACAAGCAAACTATAGTCCTAATTTTGATGTAATAACAGATGTTCAGTTAGAACTGAAATGCAAAGCTGTATGTGAGACTGTCACTGAATCAACAAATAACCCATGGTGTTCCTCACGGACTTTTTCCTTTTTTAAATATAAATATATCTAAAATTTTGTACATGATATAATTTAATCCCTATTTGTACTCAGTGCACAATCTCAGGTCTTAGACATGTACCAATATTTTTGTTCAGATTAAGCAATCCAATGAAAAAATCTTTCAAACTCAAGTCTGACCACACTTGCAGAAAATAAAACCTTGGTGGTTAGCAGTGTCTTAGAGTTTAACAGGCAAATTTAAGGAGAAGCAGAGAGGCAAAAAGATGCATTATGTATCATATGTATGTTACCTGATGTTTCTTAGGGACAAAAAAAAATCACATTTTGATTACGTTTTGATAATTTTAAACATTGCCTCCATCCTTTATGACTTTTTAAATGGTGAACTCTTCTTACTTAGGTTTCTATAATTAACTTTGATTCTTTTTATTTTTGAAGGGAAGGAGAAGGGCAGTTAGAAGAAAGTGGAGGCTACTTTTATTTGTAATTTCCTTATAATAGGAAGTATAACCTACTTTAGAACTACAGTAGGTGGAAAAGCACAGATAAAAAAATACAGTTACACTGGAAAGTTTGTACTGGGAGTTAGGAGGCCTGAATTTTAATGCTGACCGTGATACTTTCTAAATTTGCGATCTTGTTCAAGTCATTATTCTCTGTCTCTGTCTCTGTCTCTCTCTCCTTCCCTCTTCTCTCATTTTTGCTTCAAAGTACAACACAACAATTCTCTTAGTTTCCATGATTCCCTCTAACCTCAAAATTTATTGGTTCTTTGATCTTAATAAATTTTGTTCATATTCTGATTAATGTCTATTCATCAGGAGTTCGTACTTATGAGATAGTATAGGCATGGTAAGTCATGGACAAAATAAAGGGGAACACATAAAAATAACATGAGTGTGTTTTAAAGCATATTTCTGTTCCTTTTTTTATAAAGAAGTCAGAATTGCTTGAGCAATGTCTTACCAATTATTTGGTGGTTGCTATTCCAAATAGGGACGCAGAGAACAGATCTTATATGAAAACCAGATATCTGGTCAGCCTAGGATATAAAAAGGCAGTTCATTAATATAAAATATTAACTTTCTATCTAGAAATATTTTTTAAAAATTGTAATATTGGTTTTTATTTTTTGAGACTAGTTTTAGACTCATGATCGTCCTGCCTTCACCTCCCAAGCACCTGGGATTGCAGGCATGTGCCACTGCATCTACTTCCCATTATAATCTAATTTTTAAACTTGCTTGCCTCTTTTTACTTAAAACAACACAATGACATCCCAAGGGAGCCTCATGCATACCAAATGCCAGTCAACACCACCTCCCTAATCCCACAGCACTACAGAACTGAATGTAGAAGTCACATCATCAGACAAGAATGCTGGCAACTAGTTCTGCTCTGAGTACTTAAAGCATTTTAATTAAGCTAGTATTCAGCATGTATTTTTTACTGGGTACACCAATGGTAAGGTTTGAGTCTACAAGTAAATACAATATATACATTTATTTACCTTTAGCACTATATGTATTTACTGTTACTAAATTATTGTGGATGCTGCAAAGTCATTAAAAAAAAAAAACCCAGAAACTGTAAAACAGAAGATAAATGCAGAGGTTTGGAGACATTCCTGTACTGTACCAGAGATCAAGAGATGGCAGGTTTAAATTATGAAGTTATAATCATCATCATCAAACATTAGGAGCATTGTTATCATCAAACATCAGGAGCCAGCTTGGCGTACATTAAAAACAATGGCCTACATTTGAATTGATGGAGTGTAGTCACTAAGATTGAAAGTGTCTTAGTGAGTTAATATGACCCTTACTTCCAGTGAAAAAGGTCAAGGAAAAATAAGATATCATCTTATGGTTGTTGAGATAAGAAATATTTTTAAGCAATCAATGTACAAGCTGTATATTTTAAAAATTTGAAATGGGAAGTTAATTTACACACCTGAATTTTATATCTGGTATCTTACTCCTTGGTCGACCTTTTTGAGAATTAATTTTCTAGATGCTTCTTATCAGTATGTTACTTTATGTTTTTAAGTAATATTTAAAGCTTAACATGCATATAGAAAGATGCAAAATTCATAAGTACACAGCTTGATAGGTTTTCATAAAGTGAACATACCACTAAGCTCAGGAAACAGAACATTATGACTGTTTCAAAAGCCACTGCCATGCCCCTTACCTTCTCTGTAAAGATAACCAGTATAGGACTTTTGACACCATAAATTCTTTGTTTTAAACTATAGAAAATGATCCATGTGTGACTTCACATGATTGCAATCCTAGCTTCTGGGAGGCTGAGGCAGCAGATCACAAGTTCAAGCCCAGCTTATATAACTTAAGAGCCTATCTTAAAAAGTATCAACAAGGACTGGGGAGGTAGCTAAGTGTGAAGGTCCTAGGTTCAACCTCAGTAACTGCGCCCCACAGGCTTTTCTATAAAATGAATCACTGAATGTGTATTCTTTGTATCTGGCCCCTTTGCAGAGTATTACATTTCAGTATGTATTCATTTTGGGTATTTTCTTCATTGCATCTTATCCCACTGCTCGAATATAATATTGCTTATTAATTCTATTAGTAATATTTTTTACTACTATTCTTTAGTAATGTTGAATTGTTTTCAATTTAGAGAAATACATATTGTATTTATGAATAGTTTTTATATCTCTTCTCAGACCTTTTTTTCTTGCCTTTATTTCATTTTCTCAGCAATTTTTTTTTCTTTTTGACGTCGGGGATCAAACTCACAACCTCGCACTTGCCAGGCAGGCACTTAGCTGAATCCCCAGCCCTGTATTTATAAATACTTTTCTACCTACTTAATACATGTTTGTATGAATTTCTGTTGGGTATACGAGATGTGATTAAAAGATGTAATGAGGATTTAAATTTTTAAAAATTATTACAATAATAGACACATTGTCATTATTTTCCTTCAAAATATTTCCCTTCAAATCAAACACACTATTGCATCATCTTTGGCGCTTCCTGGAGCAGTTCTAAAAGTCCTTTTTGGTGCCTACAGTTGCACTATCATAGCTGCCTCAATGTCCTGAATCAGTTAAAAAATGCTTATTTTCATGGTCATTTTGACTTTGGGGAGGAGCCAGAAGTTGTATGGGCCAGTTCTCGAGAATAAGGTGGACAAAGACAAATCATAATTTTTTTTTTTATGAGCCTGTTTTTCCATTAGATGGCACTGGACAGCAGCATTTACTGTATTTTTTAAAAATCACATCTCATAGAGACACTCACAAAATAAGACTCCCACAACTGCTTCCTAAAGTGGATGGAATAAGAGTGTTTGAAGTGCGGAGGAATGTTTGGCAAGGGATTTATGTCTATATCTTTACTGTAATGTTTTTTAAAAAGTTCAAACATTCACTGCTGTTCTGATACATTGTATACCATGTGTTGTATACTCCATGGCTTGCTTTTGCACTCTCTCATTCGCTCACCTTTGTTTTAGAGGTTGCTAATGTGAGTAGCCAAATAGCTCACTCTTTTAATTAAGGTTAATACTTTTTTCTTTCTTGGTCATTCAAGAAATCTTTCCCAATTCGTAGCTCACAGAGATATTCTTCTGTTGTCTTCCTAGAATATTTATCAAGTTAACTTTAATAAATTTATCATCCAACTGAAAGAGTTTTATGTACAATGTAAACAGAGACAAGACTCTCTCTTCCTCTCTCTCTCTCTTATTTATTTATTTATTGATTGATTGGTCTTTTTAGACAGTCTCCATATGCAGTTTCAGCTGCTTTGAGCTCACTTTGTAACCGAGGCTGGTCTGGAAGTCTCAACCATCCTCATGCCTCAGCCTCCCAAGTGCTGGGATTATGGGCGTGGGCCACCATGATAGGCTAAGACTTTTCTTTTTAAATAAGCCAGTGTACATGCATATTTATTGAATAAGTTTTCAGTACCTAGGACAATGGGGTGTTCTGCAATGTCTGAATATCACTGGGCACTTGAACCCCATTTCAACACACTTAATGTACATAATTAAATTAAAATGCTTTTCTCCATTGGATAATATATTCTCTGAAGTTTGTATCAGGTTTGTATTCCCTAGAGAAACAGATTTAATTACTCCATAAAATTGTAAGAATTTACAAGTTAGGCTTCCAACAGCTATCTGTAGAATCCGCTGTGGAAGAATGCAAGAGGGCCATCTGCATGCTAAGTCAGCATCATTTCAAACGGAAAATATCACACAACTCTTAAGTACCAATTCCCTCATTAACCCATGTGTGTTAGATTTGTTTCTTGACTCTCGATCCTCCTCCACGAATCAGGGTATCTATTTCTATGCCGTAGCATATTGCCTTAAATAACACAGTCTTATAATAAGTCTCGATATCTGGCAGTGTAGGTTCTTAGTTTTATCCTCCTTCAAGATTTGGTATTTCCACATTCTAGAATCATCTTGCAGTTTATACACATACACATACATTGCTAGTATTTTTGTGTGAATTGTATACACAAATTATCAATTTGGGAGAGAACTAATACATTTACAAAGTTGTCTTTCAATCTATAAACATTTTTCAATTTATTTATAGCTTCAAATAAGTGTTATATGTAGAAGTCTTACATATAATTTGTTACTTTCATGCCTTGGGTTTTAAAAGCCTGTTATTGTAAATGATATTCTTATTTCATTTTCTTATGCTTGGACAGTCTGTTTGGTACCTGTTAGGGTTAATTTCAGGTCCTTATGGACATTAAAATCTGTGGAAATTCAAGTCCTTTACATAAAATGGCATCACACTTACGTATAACCTACACATATTCTTCAATATATACTAAATCATGTCAAGATTACTTATATCTAATAGACTGTAAGTGCAATTAAATTGTTGTTATGCTATATTGTTTAGAGAATAATGACAGGAAAAATATCTGTAAATATTTAATATAGATGAATGTTTTTGCATTTTTAATTTGTTGTTGGCTCTATATATAGAACCCAAAGATATAGAGAGCTAACTGCACTTGGTACTTGGACAATATATATGATATAATATATTATATATAATTACGTTGACATATTCAATTATTAATTATAATAATTATCTGTACAGTGTTTTGGATTTCCTATATCATTATGTCATATTACTCTTCAATTCTTGTGTCTTTTAATCATATGATTTTAGATGTGCTTTCTCTTTTTTAGTTGAATAGAGTAAATTATACAAATTATTAAGAATTCCAGATGCAAACAAACATGAAACCAAAAATAAAGTCATAGGCATAAATCATTCATCGAGTGCACTATTTCAATAACTGTGTGCTACTATCTCTTATGGGAATTGCTGAGTGTTGATATAAACATGAATACATACAGTCATTACCCTTGAGGAGCTCACAGTCTAGTCAATATAGAAATAAAGATAAAATAAATGTCCAAGTATTTGTTCAAAACACTTTTTTTGAAAAGGCCATCAACTGACTCTTTGTAGAGGAATCAGGAACACCTTAGGCCCATTAAAATGGATCTTCAAAAACGACAAGGATGATAAAGCTAACATCTACTGGATTTTTACTATGTGTCAGGCACCTTGTTCAGTGCTTTCACAGGCATTATTTTACATAGTTTTTAAAATAACCTTATGAAGTAGGTCCTATTATCATTCTTTCATCAGATGAGACATGGAGAGATTGACTGCCTTGATTGGGAGAGACCAGCTCATAGAAGTTCAGATAACAACAAACACATCCATCAAAGTTATCTTCCAAAAGAACATAGTGGTTTTCTCCCTCTCCCTAAGGATAAAATCTGAACTCAAGCAATGGCAATAAGTGTGAAAAGAAGGAAGTAAGTTTTAGAAATACAATCCACAGACTCGGGCTAGCCACCACCTCACCAGAATGGCCGGGACTATTTTGTTTTGCTGAAGGAGGGTCATACACCATCGCACAGACAATATCGGTCTAAGCCAGCACTGAGCAATAGGCACAGATGTCTCTGCCAACTCCAGGATGACTCAGATTCTACAAATTTGAGGCAGCGGAGGAAAAAGGT